AGCATTGTGGTTAAAATTAGAGCAATTATACATGATGAATAATCTTACTAGCAAATATATTTGAAGTAAAGTCTACATTATCATCGTATGATAGAATATACATCCCTTAAGGATCGCCTAGCTACCTTTAAGGAAATCATCGCTGATTTGGAGACTTTAGAGGTCAAATAAAAATAAGAATATTTGTGAATGATTTTATTATGTTCATTACCCGCTTTATACATGTCTTTTAGAGACATAGATTTATATAATCATGATACTCTCATCAAAGAAATCTACGATGCTCTTTATTCAAAGAAAAGATAAAGCATCTTGTTGTATCTAAGGTTCATAGAGGTGGCCTTATTATTGATAGTGATCGTGCAAGAGGGAAGCCAAAATCTAACTTCAAATTTTGTAAATTGCAAGAAAAATGGGCATTTAATAAATGATTGTTATAAGTTGTACGATAAAGCAAAATAGACTCCAAATCTACAATCAGAAACTTTAAGAAAAGTAAGTATTGCAGAAAAATCCTAATAGACTATAACTCCAAACCTGACGAGACTTGAATTCTTGATACAGCTTACACTTTCCATATGTATCCTAATTGGGGACTATTTTCAACATATAAAGAAGTTTCAAAAAGTATTGTGGTGATGGGAATAATACATCTTGTTGAATAGCGTCGTGTCAGAATAAAGATATGTGATGAGACGGTTAGAACACTTAATGCAATGAGTCACGTTCTAGATCTGAGGAAAAATCTTACCTCTTTAAGTACTTTTGATTCAAAAGGATACAAGTGCACTGTTGAATGAGGAGTCCTGAATGTTAGAAAATGAGCCAGTGCTTTGTTAAGGAAACCTAGAAAATCTTATTTATATGTCTTGCAGTGTTATGCAAAATCTCAGAGCAATTGACATATTTTAAGAATTTGGGTGGATTTGGAGTTGGATTCTATACAATTGGAGTCTAATTTGGATCTTCTTTAAAGAATACTTCACAGTTGAATTTAAAAGTTATGGGTAAATTCGCTTTGCCACCATTATTAGCGATGTCATTATTTTTAGTTACCACTAACAAACCCTTTCTTGCCATAAGACTCCACAAGTACAATTTTGCTGATTTAGATGATGGTTTGAATAAGATTAGGGGTGTTGATTATAACAAAGATCCTTCTAATAATGCATTCAACTGTGATTTTGTTACGAGGCTTGTTTTAGCCCTATTTTATAATCATTTTATAACTTTTGTCCCTAGTTGGGATGTCAGAGATGAAAATTATTTTCAATTGGAAATCTTTTATGGAGGATTTCGTATGGGTTTCTTTGTAGAAAATCTTTGAAATTTGTTCATTGCAATAGAATTTGTGTCAAAAGTGGGGTTTGTTAGAATATGGGTGTAACCCAGATTCTATTTGGCAAATTCCAGTTGAAGTTCTAATTGGAAGCTCAATTAAAAGTTATGATTTGTGATCGACTTGAAAAATCAAGCTATGGATTAGAGAGAAATTTTCAGCTCTTTTCCACTAGCTAGCTGCTGGCCTACTGCTCGAGCAACATCATCGAAATTCTGTGTAGAGAGCTGGCGTCTACTTGGCGCTAGCCTGGCGCTCTAACTGCTCTAATGCTATTTGCTTGGTGCCCGAGCAGTGATTCGTTTGGTCCAAGCTCGTTTTTTGCATTATGAGCATTTCTTTTTGTCTATAACTCTATTAATAGGGTTTGAACACCCCCTACTTAATCCCTATATGTAGTTAGCTTTTTATTATGTTGTAGATCAAGTTAGAAATATTGTAAGCACAAAATCTTTGTATTTTTTTACCATATTATAATAAAACATCATTTCTTTGCAAATTACATTATTATTGTGCTTTTTGTGATATTTATTTCAAATTATGCCTATAATCTCATATTTTCTACCACAAATTGGTATTTGATTAATCCGGTTTCAGTTTTCTGCATAACAGTTACACTTATTCTTTAGTAGATTTTATTTTGTGGCATGTTTAAATAAGTTATTTCTTCCTACTTTTCAAACAAAAATGTTTTCACAATAACTTATTTTAAAACTACTAATTTCGAGTAAACTTACCTAAGTGTAAACTTTTAAACTTAGCCAAATATGCAGTAAAGTCAATTTTGAGTGAGTGTCAATGGCTTGATAACTTTACTTTTATTTTTCTTCGAACAAAAAATGTTCCATTTTAATACTAAAACTTAAAAGTTACTTAAAATGAAATTTTTAAGCTTATTCAAACCAAACACGCTTTGCATTGTTCAGCTTGTAAATAATGAATTATCATTCCCAAGAAGGTGATTGGTGGAAGCTGCATTATGAGTTCTTCTACTGCTCAAACCTTCTTTCATATGGACTGGCTCGAAATACGTATTATTCAAATTCAGCCGGCATCTTTTTCTTGGGCTGATAGCTATTGTTGGTTTCCAATGATAGCTATTATTCAAAATGACACCTCTGCCTCGGGTGTCCAATGATACTCTCAATCATACAGCCATAGGCATCATTATTATTAGCTTTACTTATCACATTAATCTGGAAAATGAGAAATTTCGTATATCAACATACTCGAATAGAATATAGTGAACATGTGAGTATAGATGCATGAGCGATATGGCGCACAAGGGCAGACTTACAGACCATTGCCGCCACAATAAATTTCAAATATGTTATTTTGCCTGCGGTTTTTTCAAGATTTGAGAGAGAGAGAGAGAGAGAGAGAGAGAAAATCCTTATAATTTTCAAATTTTGCCCCCCACAATTATTTTCTTTGAGCTCCTCCCCTGATGACGCAATTCATTTTCTAATGTCTATCTCTCCTTTTTCTATTATCTTTTAGGCATGTATGAACTTAATGTGTATACTTGAGGTCAGGGGCGGAGGTAGTGGGGGCCCAGCATTGCTCCCCAACCCATATAAAAAACTAAGAAATTGTAGAATTTTGGTCCAAATATTAGCATAGTTCAGCTCTAGTTTGGACACCAATCCAAATCCAATGCTCAATTATTTAAATTGTATAAAAGACACTATAATTATTAATCACTCTTTTCATGACATTCATAAAATGTGAATATTTTATTGTCAAATTAGATATTCTATTTAATGCATGTCTGACAATAATTTACTTATAATCATTAAGTAATTTATTATAGATAATTTGTATTGATTAGATCTAAAAGTGATTTTAATAGTTAGAGACATTACATATTTTCCTAAATTTAAAAGTAACTCATTTTTTTAATTTCTACATTTTCATTTATTGCTAATTCATATTTATTAAAAAAAAATACTTACTTTGACCATAAATTAGATATTATGATCAAAATAAATAACTTACTATAGATTTAAATATTGACAAAAAATTTATTTATTTATTTATAAAGTAACCTATGTATGAGTATATTCTTGAAATCGAGCAAAAAATGGACGTGAATTAAATTAAATTTCTTAAACCCTTGAAACTCTTAGTTGATTTTTCTTACTTTTATTGAGATTTTTCACTCACTTTGAATTGTGGTCATATAGAAGATCGATGAAAACACCAAATAATATTTTGAGATAATAAAATATGGATTATAGTGATATATTATTGATTGTATGTTTCGATCAAGCTTTCAATTGTTCCAAAAGTTTGGTTGTCAAAGGTACTAAAAGAGTACTCATTAAGTATTTTTTTTTTTTTTCATTGGTGGATATGTATTTTTGCTTATTTCTATCATGGTTCGGTTAGTTTATAATTTTTAAGGTAAGTGTTTGGTAAAAAAAATAATAATAATAAATAAATAAATACACACACACACACACACACAGATTTAATGGAATATATTAATGTGAGACATCTAAACTCTTTATTTCATTGAGTGTCGTATACTTTTTATTGTGAATGTTATGAAAATAGCCTCCGAAACCCAATTTCTTGTGGCATAAGTTCCACAAAAAAAAAAAAATAATAATAATAATAATAATAATTAATTTCAGCCCATCCCAACATTATTTTCTGGCTCCACCCCTACATGAGGTCAATAATTTGTGGGAAGTGACAGTATAAATAAATTGATCATAACTCTTTTCTTTTTTTTCTTAGATAGTGTCTTTCTCGCTTAATGCTTTGTAACGTGTGATATGTGTACTATAATGTTGATTATAAGGGCCATTGGTCGGTATCTAGCCATCACAAAATCCAAGTATTCACAAAAGATTGAGCCTTGTAGTTAGATAGCTACAGCCCAATGGATCTGCCCTTGTTAGCTATTTTTGTTGTCTTGAAACTGACATTCACATTGTGCATAAATCTCACTTTTAATATTTTCTTTAAGAGTAATATTGTAGCAGTTCTGAGCTTTAGTATATATTGCAGCTTACTGTTTGTTGATCAGCACGACTTTGATTACTAACAAATAATGACTTCAATAGTTAAGTCTACTGTGAAACATGTTAAAAGTAATTGTTAGGTCTCTATTTGTAATTGGTTATTCCTTAGACAAAATAAAAGTAGTGTTGTAATAAAAGTCAAAAAGTCAATGGGTTGGTAGTATGGATCTTAAAGGAGTCAAAGAGCTCAAAGATGTCCAATAAGCTCACATATGATCAATGGGATGCGATTAGAAGTCAAAGGAATGTCAAAGTGTCGCATAAGTCATGCGCCAAATTCTTAGTCTTGAGTTGCGATGCATTTCTCATGTAGAAAACATTCAAATTTTAAAAATGTTATTTCATTGTTGTCCTTGGATTTAGCTCTGCATTGCATTGTAAATCACCTCAATTCAATCGAAAAAGAAAGACATACCAATAATATCAACAACTGCGCAGAATAAGCTCGCTGGCTGCCCTCTAGACGCTTAAGCGCCCAAAACAAATTGTGAGCACTCTCTGGGTGCCCCCAATGGCGTTCAAGCGGCCGTGTTACATGGTGAACCCTATTTCTGTAACGCCCCAAATATTTATTGACTTAAAATTTGAGGAGTTACCGATATCATTCCATAATCATACATCAAGCGGAATAAAATTTAAAATTTAATACCTTAATTTATTGAAACTCAAATACTGAATCAAATAAACATAGCGTCATGAATGGAATTGAAGAGAAACATAAAATGCCCTAACAAATTTATTATGGATTCCTAAAAATTTCTTTTACTTGGCAACCTGCGCACCACTCAGCCACCATCCACGTTGACCAATCTGACCTGAAAAGTTAAAATGGAAGGAGTGAGTAATTTATACTCAGTAGGATACGTGCGTCCAAAACAATATGATAACTTTTAAAACATGAATCTATAACATTCCATACCATCGTTTCATCAAAATCAATCGGTGACCAATCGAAAGCTCTAGTACATTTGAGAAGACCCGAAGGCGATCTCACATTTCATTTCATAGGGACCCGTAGGTCAATTAGCATTTCATGAAATAAATCACGTATAAAAATCATAATATTGCAAGGACATATCACTTGCACATAGTATCCTACCTCGTTAATCTACGAATTTTGAAAACAAGATCCAAGAATCACGCTCCAAATGTTTATTTTCTATCAACGCAATTGTTGCCGTGTATGTGCATGCAATAGATGTGATTAAAGAGGCAAAGAGAATTATGATTTTGGTAGAATATGAATATAATAGGGGGTTTTTGCTGAACTTAAAGAATGAAATCAAAATAAAGGAATGGGGTTGATGGCAAAAACATGTGTATGGCTTCAGTATTTATAGGCAAACATAAGGTAGTTGATAAGGAATAGGATAATTTGCTTGGATTTTAAATTTCAAATATTGATCACTCTATCCATATACGATTTTCTTTAAATTACTAACCATATTTATCCACATGCCATATAAACAAAATTTGTTACATATATCCTTTTGTGATTTAAACCAAAAAATTTGATTAAGATTGGATTAGATATATTCTCAACTTGAAGATAAGTCAATCGCACATAAAATAATTCTATAACAAATTTATTTGAATTTAAAAAAAATTATAATCTCATTTCATATATTATATACGAGATCACAGTTTATGAAAACCCAACCAATTCACATGCCAAAACGAAAAGGGACACATTTTGATTACTGTGAGCTTAAACAGATTTGATAGGATGCATGTGTACATCAATAGCCAAAAATGATTTTGTTATAGTGGATGGGATAACAGAATTGGATGTGGTTAAATCTTTTTTTCAAATTAAAGATAATCAAGATTATATAACTAAAATATTACATTCTTTTCCTAATTATCTCAAAAGACACGGCCTTTTGCTAATCAAGAAAACTAATTTTGTTATAATAGGTTTCAATTGGGAAAACAGAATTAGACATTATTCCATGTTTTGCAAATAAAGATTAACGTGATTATATAATAAAATATTATAATCTTAATTTGCTAATTATCTTAAAAAAAATACATATTAAATACATTTCCTTGAATTAATTTATTTCCAATTAAGTTACCATTCTCCATGCATGCACACATTAAAATAAGTTGGACTCCTAATTGCATAGGATACAAGGCTTAATTTATTTTAATACAAACGAACAATATAACTAATAAAACTCTTATTTAATTTACGTTTATTTTCTTTGGTCAAACCGAGAGCAAAAGTGGAGAACTTTAATAGAATTTGATTGCAATGGGACTTAATCACATAAATTCTAGTTTACTTATGCCTGATTCCAAATCCTTCCCTAGCTAACTAATAAGGGAAACTAAGCGAATTAATCCTTAATCTAAAGCACACGTGGCTATACATATTATTTAAAATAATATTACTTACCAATTTCATTAACAATAAAGCTTAAAACTTTAGAACTATAAAATCTTGGCTATAACTTATTCAAATTAACTTTTTCTCAAGTCTAAAATGCATAATTAATTACAAGCTACCCAATGAGCCCAGTATCGATCAAATTTAATTATTTGACTCAAAACATAAGAATTTAAAATATATTACATCTTAGTCCCTCAACTTTTGAAATATAACATATAAAACAAATATGTTTTTATTCTAAAATTTTCGGGATGTTACAATTTCGCAATTTTTAGCCCTTTTTACAATCCTAAACCACCTCAAATACTTCATATTATATATCCCAAGCTATATTTCATCCAAAACTATCTATGTGCCATTGATTGAGCCATTATATATTTAAGAGAACGTCCTACAAAGATCGATCAACAATTCCATAATTCTCTTGATTCAATTAAAAGATCAAGATAGAAGATCTAAAGATCAACGACCAAAAATCCTTAAATTCACCTATAAGCCTTTAAAGTTTTGAAGTTGGAGAAGAGGTACTTGGAGTTCCAACACTCCGGAACAAGTTCGTTCTTCGTTATTCACTAGAAAATAAAAACTAGTTCAGAGTTGCTAAGAAGCACAGGTCGTACAATCGAAGAATTCTTCGGTAATTTACAAGTTGGGTGGTCAGAGTCGAATAAGATTTAACAATGTCTAAATCAATTGTAAATTAACTTTTCTAGTAAATTTTACTGACAAGTTTGTTTTATGGTTTTTTTAAACGTGTTTTTCTTCAACATCATATCTGGTGTTATTTACTTTATTTTTTATTAGAATTTTTGTGATTGTTTAAACTTAGAGTTTAATATTGATTATTCTTAATAATCATCTAGAGACAATAAAAGTGACTTGTTGCTTGTTATTGTGTTAATTCCACATGTTTGGGTCTAAATATTTCCCAACGGCAATGTAATGATCCCTGTATAAGTTACCTAGATTTTAAATATCCTACTCAAGGCTCACTAAAGAGGGAGTGTTGTAACTTGATTAATGAATAGTATGCTCCATGATCTCTAGCAGCAAGAAGTTCTTGATGTGATCCTTCTTCCACAATCTTTCCATTCTTGATCACCATGATGCAATCTGCCTTCTGTATTGTTGATAAACGATGAGCTACAATTACACAAGTCCTGCCAACCATCATTTTCTCCAATGCTTCTTGGACTAGATTTTCAGACAAACCATCCAGAGCACTGGTTGCTTCATCCAGGAGAAGGATTGATGGATTTTTCAGAATTGCCCGAGCAAGTGCAATCCGCTGCTTTTGTCCCCCCGAAAGCTGGACTCCTCTCTCACCACAGTTAGTTCGATATCCGTCCTTCATTGAACTGCATTAGAAGTACGATGTGTCACTCTATATTAGACAAGGAGGATCGGATAGTATTGGATAGTATACAAAGAAAAAGAAGTTAAAATCAAGTTTATTATATTATACAGTTCTATCGAGGATTACACGTGGACTAGGTGTCAAGAAGCAGGATGATGATACCACACCTTATAAATTTATGAGCATTTGCCAGAATTGCAGCTTCTTTGATTTCACCTTCTGTGGCGTCCGCTTTTCCGTAAACTATATTTTCATGGATGGTTCCTGCAAAAAGAGTCGGTTCTTGACTCACAAGTGCAATATGTGATCTTAAATCTCGTAAGTTGTAGCTTTTGACATCGTGGTTGTCTATAAGAACTGATCCTTTTGTTGGATCATAGAATCTCTCGATCAAGCTGAAAATAGTGGATTTGCCTGAACCACTCTGTCCTACAAGAGCCACTGTTTTTCCAGCTTCAATCCTGAGATTAAGATTCTGTAAGATCATCTGCTCTGGCCTGGAGGGATACGAAAAGAAAACATTCTTTAATTCTATCGTGCCCCTCAGCAATTTTTCTATCTTGGAACCTTCAGGGTTGTTAGGCTCAATCTTGCTTTTCCTATCAAGAACTGCAAAAGTAGATTGGATGGCGTTGCTACCTTTTGACAAATCTGATGTCATGGTTCCTGCATCTGCTACATTCTTACCGGTACTCATCAAAATGAAGAAAACCAGAAATAGATCCTTCGCTCTTAATAATCCCTTGTTCATTAGAGTCCCGCCATACCAAAATGTCAAAGCTACAGAAGCTGTTTTTAGGAATTGAGAGGTAAACAAGCCTACTCCATTAAACCATGACTGTTTTATGCTTTGTTTACGTGGGCCCTTCAGTGTTGCTGCAAAGATATTGAGAATATGTTTCTGAGAAGAAAATGCGGTGATTGTCCTGTGATTGACAACAGCTTCAATTGCTAGTTGGCTTCCTTCATTTTGCTCTTTCTTGGCATTTTCCGACATTTTTTTCATCATAACACTTTTCAAGTAGAAGCTAGCAATAATAAAAGGTTGTATTGCCATGGTAACACTTGCAACTCTCCATGCCACGATTAGCCCAAGCAAAAAGGCAAGAGCAACAGTTGTAAAGGCCTGAACCACTAATGACATGCGATCTCCAACAAGAGATCGAACTATATTGGCTTCAGTCGACAATAATGCACAAATAGCAGCACTTGTATTCTGATCTAGATCAAACCACCCAACCTCAAAAGTAAGAACATTTTCAAGAAATTTTTCCCGTACCCTCCTTGTTAATCTCTCTCCCATAATTGCAAAATTATAATGCTGGAGTACACTGGCAAAGAAGCTGATAACTCCTATACATAAATAGATGATGCAGTACAACCTGGTCTGGGATTTTATTTTTGAGCTATCGTTTATGAAGTATAACGAGACCATTGCACCCATGAAATAGGCATGAATTGGCTGGATTGCACCAAAGACAATAGCGCCTAGACATCCAAGCAAAGCTCTCTTCCACTCTAGTGCATTCATTTGAAATAACTGCCAAGGACTTGGAGACGGATAACTCTCCAATTTATCAACATTGTTTTGATAATAATCGCTAAAGGTGGATGAGGGACTGTTCCAAATTGATGGAGCCTTAGAGTGAATGGTCAGAGCTGCCCTGTTTTGCTTGCTTAAACTGAAAGGGGACATGGGACTGTGGGCATATGTTGTCTTCATACGGTATATTCCCTCAATTGGTTGGGGTAGACCATCCAAAGGCTTATCATTTATGGCTGATAGTTGCACTTTCACCATTTCAGAGTAAAATCCACCATCCCCATTATTTATTTGCATCAACTCATCATGAGACCCTGATTCAACAACTCTCCCGGATTGAAGTACAACAATCTTGTTGACATTACGGATTGTGGTGAGGCGATGAGCAATGATAATTGTTGTTTTTCCAATAGAAGCCTGGTCAATGGCTGCCTGTACTATGCTTTCAGAATGTGCATCCAATGCACTAGTAGCTTCATCAAGCAAAAGGATTCTCGGATCTTTAAGCAATGCCCTTGCTATTGCTATCCTTTGCTTTTGCCCTCCTGATAACTGAACTCCAAACTCCCCCACCTGAGATTTTACTAAAATTATTATAAACTCGAGGGAAATAACAAGAAAAATACTATAAAATGTAGAAGCATGAAGAATGGCTAACTTGAGTATCATATCCTTCTGGTAAATTTTTGATGAAGTCATGTGCATTTGCAGCCTTGGCCGCAGTTATAACCAGTTCCATTGTAGCATCTTCCTTCCCAAACAGTATATTTTCCTTTATGGATGTTGCAAATAAAATTGGCTGTTGATTTACCAGCCCAATTTGGCATCTTAACCATTTCAACTGGAGTTTTTTTATTCTGTGCCCATCAAGTAGTATATCTCCAAAGACGGGGTCATAAAACCTTTCAATCAATGAAATGATAGTTGATTTGCCCGAACCACTTTCTCCCACAAGACCCACTGTCTTACCAGCTTCTATGAGAAGATTGAGACCCTGGAGGATAACCATTTCCTTTCTTGATGGATAACTAAAATGAACTTCTCTAAACACAATTTGCCCTCTTGCATTTGCTAAAACTTTCCCCTTGGTATTTTCGGTGTCTATTTTCGGGATAGAGTCAATCATCTCAAAAATTCTTTTTGCAGCAGTTGATGCCTCTGTGATAAATGGGAGATTAGGAAGTGCACTCATACAGGACCTGCAATTTACAAGAAAGGTGAAATATGTATGAACATCTTCAGTTTTACGTGTTTTCTTACTCAGGTTTAGCAATGTACTTGTACTCATCTCTGAGTGTTGTATTTAGTTTAAAACCTCTATACCACTAACATAATAAAAGGAAAGGAACTCACATTCCTGCAAGGATGATACAAATTGCTGATACAGAAACGTGGCCACCACTTTCTCCTCTTTCAATGACAAGATTGCTCCCATACCAAGATTGAAATGCCCACGTTACAAAAATTGTTGCCATGCTCCCTATCATCAACCCCTTCGCTAGTCCTTGCTTTATCCCAAGGTTCATACTTTCATGAAGAGAATGGCTAAATTTATCGAGTGTTTGATGCTCGCCAACATACGAATAGACAGTTCGGATAGATGATATTGCCTGTTCGGCAATACCACCTGCAACCACATAAGCATCATTACTCCTGATTCCTAGGTCCATCATATATTTTCCGAACCCCACCCCGGGGGCTATAAACCCTATTGCAAATGGAAGAGACGCCAATGCCAATCGCCATGAAAGTAGGACGGCAACTATTAGGTTGAACATGAATGAACAGAGCTGAGCCAGACAGGTAGGTATCTACGTCAAGTAAAAGAAAATAACTCAAAAGAGGGAAGAAACAGCCTTTTGCTTTAACTACAAGAGGAAGAAAACCAGGTTATTGACAAAATGATAATCGAAAAAAATAAGGAACCTTTTCAGCTATAGCATCTTGAATCGAGTGGGCATCAGCAGAAATGTTTGAGACAACTTGAAAGGTGGTCGATGAGGCATCTTGGTTGTCAAAGAAACTAACTTCTTGTCTAAGGACCGATTTTAAGTATTTTGTCCGTACACGAGAAGTTTGCCTCTCAGCAGTTCTTGTCCAGCAAACTCCTTCTACAAATGCGAAAAGCAATGTAAATAAAGAAAATGATCAACAATCAACATGCTTTTGAACTTTTAGATGAATTCCAATTTTTCATGATTTTTGGTGGCCAAGTGAAGTCGTTATCAGTTGATATTGTTTACGCCTAAAATATATATGTCATACAATGAACAAGTTCACGCACAGTTACGATAGTGCTGGGAGAAGTTGCAGTTTTATACGACTAATACGATCTCAGACCTTAAATTGTTGAATGCAAAGCACTTGTCTCTTTTTTCTCCAATAGGAAGTGAACACAATTTAATAGCTCAGCAAAAAGTGATAAATCAGCTAAGAATTATTCTCTCTACTAACAGCCCTCCACAAATTTCTTGAGAGAGTTGCCATACCTAGAAAAGCAGCAAATCCTGCTCCAAGAGCAACATACAGAAGCTGGAGTGCATACTGGACAAAAACACAAGTAGAAATGAAATCAAAGTGAGGTTTCAACAAGAATTCTACGTTAATTGTTGAATTAGTTCATCATGTACAGGTTGGATTCATCTTTCGCCAAAGGTCTGACACATAGACAACTTTTGTAAATGGGTAACCGCAAGACTTGAACCCAAGTCTTTTAGCTACTCTAATACCTTGTTAAACTACTTGAGACGAACTCATTTTTCAACTTATACTTTGTCTTCAACGTACCTTATTTACGGCCCCTTTGGCAATAGACTGATCTGCACTTCCAAAAGCATCTAAGGCTGAACTCAGAACAGACATGGCCAATGGATCTGCCAATGAATCTCCCAAGCATCCTAAAATACCAATAAACATCAGCAACTTGTCAACACCATCAGCATACCTGAAAAGGCCTCCCATTTTTGTCTACGAGGGCCAATATAACATACTAAATGCACCAATATTGAAACGTGGCTATATAGCTGGCACCTTAATCTGTTTGGTGCTTTTGCTGTTAATGGTTTTTATAGCTATTTTCGTTCCTGAATCACATCTTAGCCTTGCAGATATTGTGAGAGGTATATCCATTGAGAATTGCCGCCCTTTTGGGAGGAAAGACCTTGAAAACTCAAACTACTTTCCAGGTTATTAATTTAAAATGTTTACTCGACTCAATTGACCTAAAGACAAAAAAGTTAAAACAAAACATGGAATATTGTACAACTTGAGGCTCTGAATAGATAACAATGTTTCAATGTTTAAACTTCATTTTCATTTAAAAATTTAAACTGTAAAAGGTTGGTCCATCCGTCGAGCATCTTGGGTTTTTTAGTCGGTAAAGGGGTAGGTCAATTAAATAGCAAAAAATGTCAACTTAAAAAATATACCTATAGGTTTCAAACTCTTGTTAGATTGTGAATTCTGACATGAGGTGAGCATGAACCACTTCACAGTAGTACTTGTTAATGGTTAACAATTCACACTTTGGCCATCATGTTCCCTGAACAAGGTAGTATTAGAGCACCAACACCTAGTGAAGAGATGGATTCGAGCATTGTACTCAGCCACATTAATTGCTAGGCCATTGGCCTTTGAGAAGAGCTAACTACTTCTACCTTCAAATTAAAAAAGATCCTCTCCCTCTTGGAGCTAGCTGCTACTACCAAGCCAAGAAAATCTCAAATAACCACTAATATCTCCATAATCCTTGTTCACTCTAGCTTGCTGCATTTGTATTCATTTTCAATTTTCCTTCATCGGGCTGCCTCCACTCAAGCCCATTGTGTAATAGCCCACAATCTAACCGCTTTCACCTGCTAGACTAACTAGGAAAGAAAATATGAACATTGGTTTCTGTCATGAAAGAAACTTTAATATAATGGTCTTATATGCACATATGGTAGGTCTCACCATTTAAATCATGACTCCTTGGACATATATGTTTTCTTAAGAACATTAAAAGAGCTTTTGAGTTAATTATTCCTGTTCCACCCTCACCTTCTTCCTTCAAAGTCAAACATTGTTCAAGAAAAAAATATCAAACAAAACTCTCATTATTTTCTGATACTGCATCTTCTCCATGTTGCAGAAAGGAGCGCATGGCTACGAGCATCACGTGCAGTTGATAATTGGGCAGTGGTTCATATGGTGCGCTCCTCATAGTCAGTTTTGTGCTGGCCTGTAGCCATGGATTAATAATTGCTATGAATTTGATGCTTAATAAGTAGTTGCTGATGTGATTTTGGTGGTATTAGGTTGATGTAGAGATCAATGATATAGTGACACTGAATTTGCTCTAGGTAGAAGGTAAAATTTTGAGAACTGATTGGAATTATGTACAACATTTTCATTCTAATGAAGTCTTTTGATGAATATTTTGTTTAAAATTAATCAGTTACTTCCTTTATTTATCCGTTTTCCTGTAGTCATTTTAATCGACGTCTATAGTTGTCTTGGCTCCTACTGCTTGCTTCCCTGGTCTCAACTGTTATTACATACTGTCTCAACTGTTATTACATACTATTAGGACTTGCAGTTTTTCAAGTTTTTGCAACATTTTTGCTTCTTTAAGTTGAATTAAGCTGAAATTTATTGCTATATTTGAATCTAACCTAAAACAGTATATAGTCTATCGTTATTACTTCTGAGTAACATTGCTCACGAAACAGTGTTTGAAAGCAGGAAGAAGAAGCCCTAAACCTGCAATGGATAGAAGTTCAAATTCCAGCCAAACAAATTGAAAACGAACTCAAAGTAAATTTTAGAGATGATAATGCGGAAGATTTTGAGAACTTTATGGCACACACACCTAAAAGAAAACGTGTTATAGAACCTGCAGCCTCATAAGCCTATCCGTCAGCTTCTGTGACCAGACAAACGACCAAATGGCATGTTGAGTATATATCATCAAATATATAGTTCTAATTTCACCTCTAAAAATAGCAGATGAGTTATCAACAGAAAGCAGCTTTATCCCAGGACTTCTTTAGAATATTATAGACGTGTTTAGCATGAAAGACTAGACATGACTAAACAATGCAATAAACATGATTCTAGCATTTTGTGTTCTTTGATAGTGCTCAGTGTACATAAGCTCACATAAACACTCCTCAAGGCATTCTTGATCAAATAGAAAAGCCTCTGAGCTTAATCACTTCTTGGTTAAAAAACTGAATTTTGACATAAAGAAGGATGGGAGTTATGGGGATTTGGAGGGTGTTTTAGCTTCTGTTTAATTGACTATGGTCTTCTGACTTGCAGAGAGCATGAGGTTCGCAGAGAAGTGTTAATAATTTGTGGGCTGCCTCACATGATTCTTGGCTTCGTGGGCCTCTTTAAATTGGGCCAAATGCTCCACCAGGTTGCTGTGGTTATTTCATGTATGATAACACGTGTTTTGATAAAATGCCTCTTTAAGGATTAAAATTAGCCGTACACGTGGCTAAGTCTCTGCCCTCTAATTGTTTGGATGAAAACGGATACATACACACTGGGTCTTGGCCTTTCTTGACTATTCTAGAGAATTCTTTTTGAGGGCTCTTCGTCTTACTTTCTATCTTTCTCTCTGTCCTTCATTTTCTGAGTGAAAACTAGGGTTTAGCTGTTTTAGATGAAATCGATCTTTGTGATTGATAATGTTATGTTCTTTTTGTAGAGAAATGGTTGTTTTGTGCGATCTGTGAGAGTAATAGCAGTGTTGTGTTGTTGTGTCAAGAGGCAAGGAAAAACTTGAAGAAATTTCCAATTTCTTCGTACATTTGTACACTGTTCTTGTTTGTTACTAGTGGATCTAAAGCTTAATCTCGTGAAAGATGCTCAACGGGTGATTAGGTTGCAAAACCGAACATCCGGGCCCTTTTAAAAGGGCAAAACATATCTGGTGTTAATTTCTTTATTTTTTTGCAATTCTTTAATGTTT